TGAATTTAAATAAATAAACAACAGGATATGTTCACAGCCTGATCCACCCACCCTCCTTCCTTCCTTTTCTCCTTCTTTCATTCATTCACTGAATAATCATCTCTAGCACAATTACTTCAAGATTCTTCAAAGCTATCAGAAATTACAGGCTTTGATTCACATACAACTCAATACCAGCCGTTTGAATGTTGAGATGTTACTATTTTTCATTGCTTGTCTCAATTATTTTAAGAATACCCACAACCATTTATTTCTAAATTCCAATAGCCATTCCTACCTGAAAACAGACAAGCCCGCACAGGGCGAGGACATGACCTTTCAAGGATTGGCTCAAGTAGCCCTTTCTCCAGAAGTAGGCTGCTGGAAGGATGTAAGCCAACCCTACCAGTCGCCCCCACATACGATGTGAATACTCCATGTACCAGATGAATTTGAACTCTGTCAGTGTCATGTCATGGTTCAGGCTGTTGTATTGGGATTTTTTTTTTTTCAAAATAGAGGGGGGAAAAAGCCACAAAGTTTAATAATTTATCTCTAATTTTCAACTAAAACTCCCTCAAAAAACCCCGCCAAAGTCCCCCTTTCCCACCCTAATAATAGAATTCCTCCTAATGGAACTTTAGTTTGAAAGAACTTAAACACAAAACATACATACATTTTAAATTCTGGAAATTGCTGATACTTTAGAAATTCTGCCTCCCAGTCCTCCTGTGTTTGAGGAGGCTTCATCTCCCGCACTAAGTGCCAGTCAACCATTGAGAGCCCAGATTCTGTCAACCTTAGAAAGAGAACAAAGAAACTATTTATCAGGGGAGAACGTCCTTTCACAATAAAATATGATAGATGTGCCTATCTAGAAAAGCAGAGTTATAACATGACAACTTAGAAATTGATGCAGAGACATAGATAGATGCAAAGCTGGTGGGGAGATTTACACACAAACCTATTAGTGATTAAAAATACTTAAGATATGCATACATAGTAAAAATAATGTACATATCTCATATGTTTTCCAAGGGAAAAGGAAACAAGATTATTTTAAACACTTTGGAGTATTGATATAAAAGGTCACTGATTTAAAAGTTTGCACTTTTAAATGACATGCTCAGCTCAAACATTAAGACACGGAACTCCTACCTCAATAATCAAAGACATAAAAAGAATGACAAAGGGAACATATTTTTTTAAACATTCTCAAAGAGACACTTAGTGTACACAGCAAAGCTATGAGGAAATTGCAAAAAGATATTTTTGGATATAAAAAGATCCATTGAATATGATGCATATATTGTGAGAAAAAAATGGGGGAGTTGAGGATGAGATAGTAACTTTCCTCACCTAGTAATGCCACCAAGTACCACAGCTCCAGCCACAGTACCGCTGCAGATTATGAGCCAACGTCCTATGGTTTGGTCTGTCACAGCATTGGGTACAGGTGGTACTGCCACTCTGGAATGTGAAGCTGCTTCTGACACTGCACTGTGTTGTGCCCGTTTCTGCAGGAGCTGCCACCACCTCAGACATTGCTAAAGACAAAGAAGGTGGTAAGACACTTATTAACTATACAAGCAATTCTTTGTATAAATATTTGGTACAGTGCAGTATGAAATATTTTTCCTACTTGCCTGGACTGAAGATATAACTGTTAGTAAAAAAAAGAACCACAACCATTAGAAAGATGCATTCTTTGGTTAAATTTTTTTGTTATATCATTTTCTTTCTTCCGTTCAATTATGTCTGATTCTTAAAGATCAGCTGAATAGATTCCCTACAGTTTTCTTGGTTTTCTTCCTAGGGCTGAGAGATTAACGACCTGCCCAAGATCACCAGCTGATTTTGTGCCCAAGATGGGAATAGAACTCACTGTCTCTTGGTTTCTAGCCTAACCACTACACCAAAGTGGCTTTCAATATATCACTTAAAAACAATGTTTCTCAATCTTGGCAGCTTGAAGGTATGTGGACTTTGACTCTCAGAATTCCCTGGCTGGCCGGAGATTTCTGCAAGTGGAAGCCCATATGTCTTCAATTTGCCAAGACTGAAAAATACTGACTTAAGGTATACTTAAAGGAGAACTTATTGTGCTTTTAAAAAGCACAAGAAAAAACACATTCACAAGAGTTCTAATGGAAAAAGATGCATTAGAATGTCAACTGATTCAACCATGAAGCTTAGAACAACTTTTTATATTTTATTGTAGAAGTCAGTTGGGCAGATTTCTCAGAAACAGTAACATCCACAGCAAACAATGATGGCAAATTGCAATACATATACAGTAATGTCATCATGCAATTGTAAAACGTGTATCATTGTATCCCAATATCTGATCAAGTATGCAAGCCAGGGTATTTGTATAATGATATTTTTATATGTGTATCATCAATTTTTCCCTCTGGAAATGACCACATTCAGAGGTACCTCAAAGATAAAAGAAACCAATAGTAAGGAACTACCATCTTTATCATCTTATTCTGGATTCTTGTCCTTTGAGCTTTTCTTGCAGATGCTTAATTAGGCACTGATATGGTTGCCTTGTAATTAAATGTCTGCAAGAAAAAAAGTAAACTCAGTGAACAACAAATCCCAACAATTCAATCATGAGTTACATATATAGTACTGGTAGTCCTCAATTTAATTAATTTCTGTTTCTAAGCAAGATGGATGTTAAGTGAGTTGCATCCAATTTTACAACCTTTTTGCCCTGGTTGTTAAAAGAATCATTGCAGTTATTAAGTGAATCATATGGTCATTAAGTGAATTTGGTTTCCTCATTGACTGTTGGAAGCCAGCTGGGAAGATTGCAAATAGTGATCATGTGATCTCAGGATGTTGCAAAATAAATATACATTGGTTGCAAAGCACACACATTCTGATAATGTGATTGTGGGGATGCTGCAACAGTAGTAAGGACCGTTCATTACTCACTTTTTGCAGTGTTGATATAATTTTTAACAGTTGCTAAATGAATGGTTGTAAGTCAAAGCTTTTCTGTATGTTACACTATCTGCCTCTTAAACTGGCTGGCCAAATCTTTACATTACATTGTAAGGCAGATCAGCAAAACCATCTTATTTTGGAGATGTTAATATAACCAAGTTTTCTAAGCATCCTATTCTTATCACTGCCAGCCATTATAGGGATTAGAAAACGTTAAGAACTGGTGAGCTCCCCTCTTCCCATTGCTACTCCATTTCAGCTCCACGTAGCACTATTTTTGGACCAATAATTAAGACTAGATTTTATCTTACTTTTGCTATCTAATAAGCTGTTTTCAATGCTGAAAAGCATAAAATACATGCTTTAAATAAAAGAAAAATTACATTTTGGTTTGCTGAAATAAAGCCTTTCCCCCTTTTTTACATTAAAAACCCAGCTATGCAGAAAGTACATGTTCCATTTTAAAGGAATGTGTTAGAATAAATTGAGACTATTTTTCTGGGAAACAGAAGTACTTGAACTGTGAAAGTAAGCAGTCCTTGGTTTGGATGATATACTCGCATTGAGGATATATTATTCAACACGGCACCCTGATTATCATAGAAACATGATCCCAAGTCACTTCATAAATTATACATTTTGAGTGTACTTGGGTGTAAGACTTTGCATGACCATGAAAGTGCAGGACAGAATAAAATATTTTTTTAAAAATCAATCTAATTATTTAATTTTTAATGTTTGCAGCCCAGATACGATAGCCCTAACTTTAGAGATAAGGAAATCATACTCTACTGTGCAATTACCTGGCCGGAAGAATTTCCTTGCCGGGGTGCCAGCAAAAATCGAGTACCTCCTAGCAGTGCCGTTCGTAAGAGCATCCTCCAAGTTACCGCGCGGAAATAGCTTTCCTCTAACCGGAAGTAAGACAACTTTCCCCGGAAACGAAGTGCAGCACATTCTATGGGATCACGTGATGGTTGGCAGGGCGCTTCCCCGCGTTCAAGGTCAAGACAGGTGAGAGCTGGGGGCGTGGCCTTCTCCCTTTCCCAGCAGTCCCGTCAACCTTAAAGCCACCTCCGGCGGAGCTCCCCCCCCCCGAGTAACTGACGTAAATGAGGAAGTGGGACCGGAAACGAGGCCCGGTGGGAGGGTGCGAGGGTGAGTGGGCGGAGGCGAAACTAAGAACGGGGGCCGGAGGGGATCATGAGGCTTGGGAAGGCGGAGTTCAACCACATACGCTTAAGTCTGCGCGCAGCCCCCTCGAGTTGGGGGTTTTAGGTTCAGAATAGCTTCGAAAGAAGCAAGTCTGGCAGTGGGGAAGTTTCGCTGTTGCCCCAATTCTTCCGGGTTTTGCTCGCTGCGCTTAGCTGCATCCTCCCCAGAAAACTAAACGGAAAAGGCGCCGCAGATAAGGGGGCTGTTTTTTTTTTTTAAGAGTAATCCTTCGTGTGTCTAAGTTCACACTCGGTGGCGAATTAAGGCTCACTGGTGCCCTAAAGCACTGGCAAATCTTGGTGTCCCCTTCCTTTGTACATCGTGTACAAACGAAGCCAACCTTGGGCTACATAAAAGTTTTTGTGGTGTCCCCTTTTGGGCCTGGTGCCCTAAGCACGTGCTTCGTCTGCTTAATGGTTAATACAGCGCTGTTCAACTGAAAGTCGGTGGGTTTTGATCTCAGATAGGCACGTAACTCTGAGCAAATTCTGCTGGGCTTGGGATTTACATGTATTGGATTGCACTGCTGATATTAATCCATTTGAAATGATCCTTAGATGTAGAAGAGATTATTAGGGGAACTTCTTGGCATGCTTTTTAGATCTTCGAAGAAGGTGTGGTGTGTACTGACTGACACAGAAATTGGCATCGGCACATGTGCTGAGGGATCAGAGTGGTAAAGTGATGGAGTTCGGTGCTTCTTCCCCCATCGTGGTTCCAGTGAAAACCATCCTCCCAAATCATCTACTTTCATTGAGAAAACACACAGATAGTAAAGACTGCCAGTATTTTTCTGATGAATAAATAAATTGGTCTCCAGTTTCCCCTTCTGTTAAAATAATACAGTTACAATAAGGTTTTATAAAGTTATATTTAGTTTTCAGGCTAAGTTAGAGTAGTTAGAGTTATCAAAATCGTGGTTATGTTGCCTTATAGTCAGACAGTTGATCGTAGACAATTGTGTAAGAAATACAAAATAATCAAAAGTCTTCATGTCACTTATTAGCAATCACAGGTCAGTCTTTATGTGTCTAAAATCTTTCTGCAATAGCCTAGAATTATATATTCATCACTTGTGGATGCCAAATCTCTCCTTAACTTTGTAATTTCTATAAAACAGCCAAAACACTTTAAATTATCTCAAAAAAAGTGAGAGGGAAGCCAAATCAGTTTTTGCTCATTGTACTGTAGTAGAATCTTTTTACATGAAGAAAAAAATTGGATCTTTAATAAGCAAAATTAATGTTGCTGTTACCTCTCCCTCTATGCCCTCATCTTAATTGTTTTTGTGCTTAAGGAAAATCTTTAGCCTGACCTTTATTGAATTACCTTAATTATTGTTTGTAATGCATGAATGCGCTGAGATATTTTCTTCAGAAGTTTATATTCATTCTGTCTTCAAAAGTAATATGGAGGTGGTTGAAATAGCCTTTTATTAAAGTTTTAGCTTTTCACTAATAGTTCCTAGGTATGTTGTTCACACAGTGTTTATAATAGCGTAGACAGAATTTAACTAGTAAATGGAAATCTAGGAGCCTTCTGAGTTTTGAGTTCAGATATATTTGGGTTAATTATGCAGAAGAAACTGCCATTTGAGATATACAGTATTTTCACTTTTCATTAATTGCCTTATCCTTCCTTTTCTCAAGGGCAGAGTCCAGTTGCCCAATAACTTCTGCTTTGTGTTTCTCATCAAGGAATGGCCAATGGCTTTCTTATGGAAGTATGTGTTGATTCAGTGGAATCTGCCATTAACGCTGAAAGAGGAGGTAATTCCATAAAATAGAAGTTGAAGATACTGGGAGACCTACCTCTGGGGAACATAGGCTATTGGAAAAAGCATTATGAAGCCTTTTTGGAAATTCTTTTGGAGGGAAAAGCAAGATGTGTAATGTTATAAAGTAAAAACCTATATACCTTCAATTTTTGTGTGCTCTGACACAGACAAGGTGCAAATGTATATGAATAGATAATTCATATACAGCTGTTTTAGAGTTTTTGTGTTCTTCTACTTTAATCGGTCCCTCAGCAAATCATATGGAATGCATATTCACTTTTTGAAACCACATATTTATTGCTTCTTAGAAGTCCAAATGAGGACATTAAATAAGCCCTTTCCTTGTAAATGAACTTTCAAGAATGTCCAGAAACATTTCTGTTACAGAAAAAAAATGTATTGTTCCTAACATTTGCTTTCAAACAGTAGATCTCTATCTTTTGTAGGTGCTGGTCGCCTTGAATTATGTGCCAATTTAATGGAGGGTGGAACTACACCAAGTATTGGTGAGTTGACAAGCTGAAACCAGCGTCTCAGCCTTTACAGTGATGAGAACTGAATAGTGCTATAAAATGTTATAAACTAGTCCTTGGTCTATAGCATTCCAACTGTCAGATAAAAAGGAAGATGTTACTTTTCTAACCGGAATGTTATGTAATGTTATGCTTTTTAGAAACAGGTTAAGACTTTCATTTTTGTTCATATGCACTTCTTCAACATCCCTTTTACTTACCAACCTCTTCAGAAAAAGGTAAGAACTTTTTTTCTTTTGGATTATTGCTTCAGGAAGCAGAACTGAGGAACTAGTTCTTTTGGGTTGGTATCATTATCTTTTGTTATAGTGTAGTTTTACTGTCATGTCATATTCATGTGCTATGCCAACTTTTAACTGATGTGTCTTACCTCTTTTATTGTTTATAGGTCTTTTGCAAGTAGTGAAGCAATGTACAAAAATCCCTATATTTGTGATGATCCGCCCCCGTGGTGGAGATTTCCTTTATTCTGACCGGGAAATAGAGGTGATGAAAGCTGACATACAACTTGTCAAGCAGTATGGAGCGGATGGGCTGGTATTTGGAGCTTTGACTGAAGATGGCTATGTAGACATGGAACTCTGCACGGCACTGCTTGGTTAGAATCCTGCTTTCCGTAGGATTTATTTGATTTCTGTGACCATAACTTTAGTAAATCCAAATTTCAGATAATAAAAAACCCAGGTAGATATTATAGGTAGATATTATGACCCCCTTATTGCTTGGGAGAAGCAGGCTCATTCTTCTGAGTTGATATGGATGTATTGTTGAGGTATGATTATAGGAAAGTTACAATAACTGCTTCCCATTCACCTAGGGGTATTGTAGGGATGTTATGATTAGAATTAGCCCATTTTTAGTTCTTTCTCATATAAGATGAATCATATAGTTGTGGGGTTTTTTTTCTAATCCCAGGGCCCAGAGAAAAAGAAATCGGAATATTTCCCAATCACTCATAACCCTTAAAGACTTTTCAGCCAGCATCTTTCAGCATCTTTAATGAAGCCTTTTGATTTCATTTCATTTTATGTTCATAATTTCTAGACAGTTCTGCATAAGAATGGGTTCTACAAATTTATAGAGGAAAAAAAAGTTCGAAGTGACAAGATATACCATGGTACATTATAAAAATAAATATAATTTTAGCTGTAAAATTGAAAGGGTACGAACAATGAAGGCAAGGCAGCTAGTTACAATGTATGGACAAATCAAAATATTTTGATCTGACACTGAAAATACAGTTATACAGCCAGTATATATTATTATATAAAAGTTGAGGTTTTTCTACTGCACCAAAAAGAGTCGGAAGTCAATGTTTTTCTTTTTCTTTTTCTTTTCCTCCTTATCCTACACTTTTCTCTCTTCCCCCTTTCCTCTCTTATTTTCCCCTTATTTTCATTTTTCTTTGTACTTCTGTATTTTATATTTTGATAAATTAATGAAATATTTGAAACAAAAATATAGTCAAATAGTAAAATAATCAAGCAATTCTTTAGGAGAAATGTCACAAAATTGGATTGTTACAAAGAAAAGGCCTTTTCTTTGTGTTAAAAAAATTAGTATACTACTGTAAAAGACAGTCCTTCAGGTATTTGGTTCCCAAGTCACTTAAAACATTAAAACAAACATTCGTTTAATTCTGTGAATGATTTATTGACATGTTATCTACAGAGAAGAGTAGAAATATTTATTTATTTAATTTATATATCAAATTTAAAGGTTGCCCTCTCTCTCACAGATGCTTCTTTGATTCTAAGATTGCTTTTCAATAGGTACAAGAGCATAATAGTTGTAAGGAACTTCATATACAAAAGGTGTTGAAAAGATGTCTTGGTTAGAAGCTGATATAGATTGTAGAAATAGTCTTAAGGTAGCATAGCTGAACTATTACGCAAGCTGCCCTTTTTCTGAAAAGTCTTGAAAGAAAAAGACACGTTTTAATCTCCGCATGAGAATGTTACTAATTATAGGTCTTTCCTTTGCAGCTGCTTCTCGCCCTTTGCCAGTCACTTTCCACAGAGGTGAGTTTTATAGTTTAGAAAGGGAATTGGAAAAAAAATGCAGGCCAGTTGGGGATTGTGAGAATGTGATCTGAGGTGTCACTGCTTCCTCCTAGAGGACGTGGAGGCTTTAGCCTTGGTTTGAGCTCCAGACTCATGATTGATATCCTATTGTTTATTTATTACAAATGTTTATATTGCCTGAATGGTTAGACTTTTCTTATTAGTAGATTTTTTTATACAGACTGATTTGTTCCAATGTAGCTTTTTTTTCTTTTGAACATTAAAAAAATTAAAATGTTTAAGGAATAAAATAAATGAGTGCTTAAAATAAAAATGAAAATAAAATATCAATAAAAACCAGAAAATGTATGCTTTTCATAAAATTTAAAATTAATTATTTCATTGC